TGATTTGTGGACAAAATGGAGTCAAATTGTGAATCTTTTGATTCTCATGGAGGAGATTAGAAAACATAAAAACTTTATAAAACATCAATGAAGGAATATAAAACACCAAATCTGTGGGAGGAAGGAAGTTCTTTTCTGTTTTTCTTTTGTTTTAAAGCTAAAATATAAACTGTCTCTTCCTCCTCGTCGTTGACATCATGACTGAAATAGTGAGAAATGAAAGAATTGGTCAGGCGGTCAGTACGCTCCAGTATGAAGTCTGAAACGTCTGCAGAAGTGGACCGCACACAGTACACGAGTCTGTGGGAGCCTTGAAGCCTAGCTTATAGTTTTTCAACGTACAGGGCGCCAGGGCGATTGCATCAAAAGTGACACAATCGCGGCATCCCCGCCCCTGCGTTGTGTCCTGGTGCGTGGTCGTGCACCTCAGACATTTTGAAGCTTTACAAAGGCTGCGTCCACTCGTCATGAAGGTGCTCTCACTGAACAGGTCCAAATGTACCAGCATCTGTATGATCCCTCCATGAGAGAGCATAAACACAACCAGATGGCACCAAACTCATGGAAGGAAACAGCAACAGCTTTAAAGAAAGATGAGTTAATATGCCAGAAGACTTGGAAAAATATTTGCGACTGGTTTGTGATCCTGGAGGAAACAAACCAGTGTGGCTCTCTCAGTTCATGAAGCACAGAGGAACAGATAATATATTAGTTATTATTAGTTCTGCTATATTGTGTTAGATTATATGGCAAGAGGTAAATGTTGTTACTTTGTTATGTGTGACGTCAAGAGTTTCTTCTTCTAAACTCTTCCCGACTACTTTCCCACTGGTTTGGCAGCGTGCTGCCYTCTGTTGGTGATGGAAGAACATGATAACATGATGTTTTCACACAGCGCACTCCTCAGAGCTTCCACAACAACCCAAAGTGTGACTATAACCCAGCCTCGAGTCTACAGACTAGATCTAGGACCAGAGGTCTACAGAGCTGGTCTTACCTGTATGAGTTTTGAGGTGCCGCTCCATGTCCTTCTGACCATACTGTGTCTTGAAGGTGCAGCCTAACGTTGAAGAGCAGATGTTAAAGTGTGACCCTGTCTCACTGCAGCGTGTTACTTATAAAACAACACGGACCTGTGAAGCAGCAGGAGTGTTTTTTACAAGTCAGGACTGGTTTCAGTTTCTTGGCAGGTGTTTTAGTCAGAGTCTTTTTGAGCCCTCTCACCACACAGGTCTGATAGAGGTCCTCCTCCAGGACCAGCTCAGTGCTGGGCTCTGAACCAGGAAGAAACAAAAACAGGTCAAACACACACAAACATGTGATAAAAACACAAAAAACAGTGTTAAACCTGGTGTAAACAGGTCAAACATGTAATAAAAACACAGAAACAGTGTTGAACCTGGTGTAAACAGGTCAAACACACACAAACATGTAATAAAAACACAGAAACAGTGTTGAACCTGGTGTAAACAGGTCAAACACACACAAACATGTAATAAAAACACAGAAACAGTGTTGAACCTGGTGCACTGGTACATCCGGATGGGTTCGGGCTGAACGAACATCCACTTCTCTTATGGTCAAGAAAACCCTCAAAGTTATAATATTGTTGTTTACAAAAGCCGCAGATGTGGATATCTGGGCTCACCTCCACCACCACACAGTGTCCTGCAGCAACTACACACAGCACAACACACAGCACAACACACAGCAGCTTCGTGTTATTTCATGACCAGTAAGTAATGAAAGTTTGAACTTGTTGGCTCCTACCTTCACCGTTAAACGTCGCCATGTTTTTAGCTTGTTTTGCTGCAGCTTTGATTCATTTCGCGGTTACACAAACAAGCAGGAAACATTTCATCTTTTTATTTACTAACATCGCAGCGTTTCAGCTGAAAATCACACAGCAGCGACATGGACAGGCTTTACGACTGTCTAGCTGAAGTTTGCGACAGACGTTTCTGCTTCACGGCTTATGTTGCTTTCACGACCATGGGAAAATTCAGTTACTTTTTCCGAGTGGAAAAAACGAGTTGAATTGTTTTTATTTAGTGGTCTGAAAACTGAAGGAACATGGAGCTCTGAGTTTAATCTCACATCTGTAATAAATCTATTTATTATTATTTTGTACCATTTTAGTCCAGTTTTCCCTTGTTTTTATTTGATCCTATTGTTTTGCAGATTGTATTTTCATGATTATAGCTACACATTTTTGTAGCTGTTTCATTTAGCCTATATATTTTACATATTCTTTATTTTTCCTGCCATTGCAATCCTTATGTTTGTCATTTGATCACATATTATATGAATCAAACTCAAGYCCTGCGYGCCGAATAGGCCCTCATTTTTATTTTATCTGGCCCCAAAGGTAATATTTTAAAAGTAAAATACATTCATCACTTATTTTTTTGTCTGTGAATCTAGGATAGCATTCCTCCTCTGTGTTTGCCCTGAATTACGGGGTGCCATAGAGGTCGATATAGGTGGCCATTCATTTTGCCTTGTACCTGCTACCTCTGGGTTGTCTCTTTAAAAAGCACAAAATCTCCTTTCACTGCTTTGCAGACAACATTCAAATTTATCAGCCCGTAACTACAAATGACAGCCAGTATTGAAGATCTGTTACAGGATCGTCTTAGGGACGTACAGGTTTGTTTGAGAGCATTTTATTTGAGACTTAAAGGATATTGGTCCCTGTCCCTCTGTTGTTATTTTGTGAGAAATCTGGGTGTGATGGTTGGCTAGAKGGGGAGAGACCGGCCTTGGGGTAGAGAACAAAAGGACCAGGGAAAAGTAGAAGAGGGTGAGGTGGGGAACTTATTTCTTGTGGCAGAGCGGGTTGGGAGATGATTACTTAATTTTATTTATTGTTTATTTTTATGTCTTAGATGTAAAACAAGTTTTAAACTTTTTGAAAAAATCTGAGATTTCTCTATACGTTGTTTGTATACCTGCAAAATGGAGGAAAATCTGTCTAACATACAGACAATCCAAACAACTTGACATGTACCTCACTATACCTCACTGTACCTCACTGTACCTCACTGTACCTCACTGTACCTCACTATACCTTACTGTACCTCACTGTACCTCACTATAACTCACTATACATCATTGTACCTCAATATACCTCACTGTACCTCACTATACCTCACTGTACCTCACTATACCTCACTGTACCTCACTATAACTCACTGTACCTCACTATACCTCACTATACCTCACTATAACTCACTGTACCTCACTATACCTCACTATAACTCACTATACATCATTGTACCTCACTATACCTCACTGTACCTCACTATACCTCACTGTACCTCACTATAACTCACTGTACCTCACTATACCTCACTATACCTCACTATAACTCACTATAACTCACTGTACCTCACTATAACTCACTATACATCATTGTACCTCACTATACCTCACTGTACCTCACTATAACTCACTGCACCTCACTATACCTCATTATACCTCACTATACCTTACTGTACCTCACTGTACCCCAATATACCTCACTATACCTCACTGTATGCCACTATACCTCATTATACCTCACTATACCTT